CAACACCCACTAGCACCCCCAGGCCGTGCCCCCCCCAATTCGCCGGTTCCCTCACGCCTGGCGGGCACGTCCTCCCCCTGGCAGCGCAGCTCGAAGAGCCCCAGCTCCCGCAGCACCGCCTCGGCCGACACCGGCTCCGGCGCCGGCTCCGCCATCTCGGCGGCGAAAAGCCCGCCCGAGCGCGACACCGCCGCGCTTAACGGCAGCGGGGAGGGAAGTGGGTGGGACCGCGCCTTATAAGGAAAGAGCGCGGGGAAAGAGGCGGCGCTATGCAGATGTCGAGGGTCAATAAGCCAACGGGAAAGGGATGGGCGGGGAGGGGGCGTGGCCGGCACCCCCCTCCACCGCCCCACCCCGTGCCGCGGTGGAGGGAAAAGGCGGGAATTTTCCCGCCCTCCCGGGGTTTCCTCACAGCGCTGAGGGGGGAAGCGGCGCCTCACGGGGACCGACCCAGACCCCAACCCGGAGGAGGGGTCGTCCCCGCTCCAGGCAGACCGCCCCGGTCGGCGACTCACCCCGATCCCTCACAGGATCCACTCAGGTCTCTGACAGGACTCACCCTGATCCCTCACAGGATCCACCTCAATCCCCGACAGGATCCACTCGGGTCCCTGACAGGACTCACCCCAGCCAAGGCAGCTCTGGCCCCAGGACCCCTGCAGGACCCCTCACACCTCCTCACCCCAAAATATATATATATATATATATATATATAAAACCCTATATATAAGCCCTAAACATACATTAGCTATGGTTTTTTTGCACCTGAGAGATAAAGGCATTGCGTCAAGTGGCAGCGCTCCTCAGCACCTGGTGGGTCGAGGGGGGCTGGTGGGATTCGCCCTGAGGCAAAGCTGGAGGGGGGAGAAAGGACCAGCAGGAAAAGAGCTTTGATATTAATAATGTTTCTTGGGTTTTTGGTTTTTTTTGTCTTTATTTTTAATTTACACAATAAAAAAACCACTATTATGGCACCCGGTAGGCAGAAGATCCCTGACTGAGGCGCTGGGAAAGAGCGCGGAAGCAAGAGGCGATGGCAGCCGCGTCGTGGGGGGGGGCGGAAATCGGCTGAGACCCGGCGTCACCCCCCCGCCCCAGGCTCCTTCAGTAGGAAAAGGCACAAAAAACGTAAGAATTCCCCCCAAAAGAGCCACGTGCGAGAGGCGAGGAGAGGGGCGTTTCTTTGGCAAAGCATGAGGGGAGCCCCATGTCCCGGTTGGGGGTGGCTGCAACACCTTCACCCCCTCCCGCTCCCCCTTTATGCTGAAAAAAAGCCAAAAAAAAAGGGAAAAACCGGCACGGTTCTCCCACGAAGGCACTCGGAGGGTTGGGAGGTCTGGTCAGGCGAACATGGTGAGCTGTAGCCACTGTGGGAGGAGGAGGAGGGTGTCGGGGGGTGTCGGGGCGGCGTCAGCCCCACGCAGCACCCATGGGTACCTGCAGCAAGTCAAAGGTGACGACGCCGTCCTGGTCCACGTCCATTGCTTGGAAAAACCCTGCGGCAAGGGAAACAGTGGGTTTTTTTAGGGGGAAAAGGGGGAAAAATGGGGCGGGAGTTAAGGGGAAATGTTGGAAAAAAACAGGGCAGGATTTAAGGGGGAAAGTTGGAAAAAACCAGCAGGATTTAAAGGGAAAAATTAGAAAAACAGAGCAGGATTTAAGGGAAAAAGTTGGGAAAAACAGGATTTAAGGGGAAAAGTAAAAAAACCTCCTAGAATTTAAGGAGGAAAGTCAGAAACCCACCACCACCACCACTTTTCCTGTTAAAGCCTATAGGTTTTTCTCCAACTTTTCCTGTTCAATTCTGTGGAAAAGTTAAATTCTGGGAAAAGTTGGAAAAACCCCACAGGAGTTAAAGAGAAAAACTGGAAAACTCTGCAGCACTTAGCAGGAAAAAATGCAAAAAAAAAAAAAAGAAAAAAAGCAGGATTTAAGGGGAAAAGTTGGAAACCCCAGCAGGTTTTAAGGGGAAAAGTTGGAAAGCCCACAGTTTTTCTGTTAAAAAGTACAAAACCCCAGCAGAGTTTAATGGGAAAAGTTGCAAAACAGGATTTAACAGAAAAAATCTGGGTTTTTTTCCAACTTAAATCCTGCTTTTTTTGTTGCATTTTTTTCCAGCTTCCCCCTCAACTTCTGTGGGGTTTTTCCAACTTTTCCACAGAACTGAATGTGAAAAGTAGGGAAAAAAATATTTTAAATCAATTTTTTCCTATTTTTGCTGTTAAATTTTGTGGGAAATGTGGCAGGATTGGACAAAACCAGGGACAAAACCGGGGGGTTTAGGGGTAAAAAGTGACTCACGGAACATGGTCTCCAGGCGCACGAGGCAGCAGACGAAGTTGTCGAAGTCGATGGCCAGGTCGGGCTCCGCGTAGCGGGTGATGATCAGCTCGTGCAGCTTTTTGTTCAATTTATAGCCTTTTTAGGGGAAAAAACCAAAAAACCAAACAAGCAACCCACCTTAAAAGCACCAAGAGGCAGGCAGAAGGCCAGGGAAATTCGTTAAAACCTGGGCGGTGTTAACGAACCCCGGGGTCAATCACCGGGGCGGGGCGCTACCTGCTGCTTCCAGTGCCATCCGCATCTCGTAGGCGCTCATGCTGCCGGACTTGTCCAGGTCGAACTTGCGGAAGATGGCCTGCAAGCCAAACACCCCCCCAAAAAAGGGGGTCACCCATGAGGATAGAGACCCCCAAAACCTCCCCACCTCACCCCAAAACATGCTACTCCTGCCACCCCGACCCACCAGGTAGTTGCGGATTCTGTTCCACAACACGTTGAACTCCACCAGTCCCAGCTTCCCGTTGCCGTCTTTCTACGGGGTGGAAGGGGGTTAAGGAAAGCGGGGCAGTTCGGGGGGGGGAGCTGGGGGTGTCCCCCCTCCCCAAAAAACGCTCCCCCCATTGCCGTGGTGGTGGAGGAGGATACATCCATGAGGTTGACCATGCTACGGCAAGACTCGGTGCTGAAGCCTTTGGTCCGGAGATCTTTATCTGCAAAGAATCCGGTTGTTATTTGCGTTAACGAGTGAAAAGATAATTAAAGAAGATCGTATGTTGGTTTTCTTTTTTGTGGTGAACCCCCAAAATCCCACCCGGCGGCTCACGTTTGCTGATGATCCGGTTGAGGATGGTCTGAAGCTCCGTGACGCTGATCTCCATGTCCTGTGGGGAGAAGACAGGGTGTTCTCCGGCAGTCCCGTGCCACCAACCGCCGGTGTCACCGTCACCACCGCCGTCACCGCCACCGCCAGTCCCGGCACCCTCCTTACCGCCCCCGCCAGCTGCTTGAAGAGCTGCTTGAAGTTGTCATCGATTTGGCTTTCGGAGAGCACTTTCTGAGAGGAAAAAACAGCTGTTTTGGTAAAAAGGTGACGCCGCAGCACCCCAGGGGGTTGTCCACCCCCCTCACCTCATCCGGCAGTGTTGCCTGGATCTTGTCATCCATTTCCCTGCGGAGATAATAAAGGAGAGTTTGGCCTCAAGAGTCGCCGGGGATCATTAGCGCTAACGAGGTGTCTCTTACTCGGTGCCGGCTTTCTTCTCGGAGAAGACGCGGAGAACGAAATCTCCTTCCTTGTTGGGTTCGAAGGTGGAGGGCACCACGATGTACTCCCCCGGTGGCAGCCGGAACCGGGTGCTCACCTCCCGCAGGTTGATGAATTGCTCCGAGCGGGCGCGCGAGGCGTTGGCCAGGAAGAAATCCCGCTTCAGGTGGACGCCCGATTTCCCCACATACTACCGGAACGGGGTAAAAAAAACCACCCACAATAACCCCAAAAACACCCACCGTCTTTCCTGGTTCACCGTTACGGCACGGTAACGGTGATATTATCGCCGCCGGCGAGTTGTACCCACCTCGGGAGGAACCTGTAAGGAGAGGAGAGGAGAGGTGAGGGAGCGCAGCGACAAGGGGTGACGCCGGGCGACGCCAGGCGACGCCGTTACCTCGTAGACGGCGAATCCGATGGTCTCCATGTCCTTGCCGTAGCGGCGCTCGCGGCGCCGGTGCTTCTGCATCAGCGCCAGCAGGAAGCTGCAGCCGGGCTCACGCCCGCCGTCCTCATCCCTGTCGTCATCCACCTCCTCCAGCTGGATCTTAAACTGTGGGTTTATCCAGAAAGTGGCTGGAAAAAAAAAGAGCAAAACCAGGCTAAATCGATGCCAAAACCAACATTTTTGAGGTGAAACTCCTCACCGGCAGCGCCTACCGGGGTAGTTCCTGCAACCGCCGGCCGTGCTGCCGCGCCGCCACGTCCCGTCGTAGAGCCGCGTGTTCCACTTGCGGAATTTGCGGGATTGGAGAGCGTCCGGGGTGAGGTTACAGATCTCCAGGCGGGTGAATTCCCGCAGGAAATCCCGGAAGGACATCCTGGAGGAAGAGGAAAGCGCCGAAGGTCGGGAGTGGAAATTTTTCCTCTTTTCCTGGCACAAAATGGCTGGGAAAAGGGTTTTTTAGTCCCTCTTCGCTTACCAAAATTCACCATCCTCCATCTTCACCATCAGCTGCTGCCTCAGTGATGGCTCCACCGCGTTCCACTCGGACGAGCTGTGGGTGGCAAACGGATCTCAGCCCTGGGGCTGAGCTGCTTCGTTAATTAACGCTAACGAAGCCTCGTGGTCCTCACTTGTCGCTCCACGGTCCTGTCCACTCCACTTCTCCCCAGGGATTGCGCATACGGATCAGGCCCAGGGACTGTCCGCGGTAGTTGATCTGCAAACAGCACTGTCAGAGCCCACGACCCAAAAAGCGTCGTTTTCTCCCCAAAACAGCGTCGCCTCTCACCTGCTTGGCCCCCGTCACTGAGTACGCATGTCCCTTCACCAGCTTCTTGAACGTCACCGCCTCCATGTCGAAGGCACTTGTTATCTGTGAAGAAACAAGACGGCGCCCACGTTAACGGCCTGCGACACCGCGCTTATTCTAATGGTGGGTAAAAGACCCCCAAAATGTTATTTTTTAACCCAAAAAAGACCCCTCACGTCAATGGAGCAGCCGAGCAGGGAGCCGCGGTCCAGCGCCTTGAGGATGATCTGGTAGAGATCCCCGGGAGGCTTGCGCAGGTCGTACCACTCGGTCACGCCGCCAGTGAAGTCCTCGAAACCCTCCGAGGTGCTGCCGCCCGACAGCGCCTCGTAGCAGCCGTTCACCCTGGGCGGCAGGAGGAAGATTTGACCGGTTTTGGGGTATTTCACCCCGAAACGAAGAAGGGGAAAGGGGTGAGGGCGTACTTGGCATAGGCTTTTTCCAGTAAGGCGCTCCAGAACTCGGTGCCTTCGGCGGAGTGCACGAAGAGCAGCTTGCCGTCTTTGGTGGGCAGGTAGTCGTCCACCACCACGTCCAGCCACTCGCCGAACTGCCAGATCTGAAGGGAGCAGGGAAGAGGAAGAGGAGGAGGCGGCGAGGCCAAAGATAATCTCCCCCTTTTTATCCAGGGAGAGGTGTTTTGGGGAGAAAACACCCATTTTTGGGTCCCACAGCATGCATCCCTGCGGGGATGGTTCATCAGGGAAACGGTGGCGGCTGCAGACCAGCATGAGATGAACCCGGCAGCCATTTTGTGGTGGAAAGCGCCTGATTTGCCCCCAAAATGATGGAGGGGAGCCCTAAAATGGTGGAAGGGAGCCCTAAAATGGTGGAAGGGAGCCCCAAAATGGTGGTAGTGGGCGTGGTTTAAGCATCTCACCTGGAAATGGAAGATGCCGGCGTAGCCGTGCTGGAAGCTCTGCCCGTGCGGCACCACGCGGTGAAGGATGGTGTCGTTGAGCGTGAGGGAGGCAATGGCTGCCAGCAGCCAGCAGTCACCTGCAGGCACCAGTTTCGGCTCAGTTTTGGGGTAAAAAAGGCAATTTTTGGGTCACTCAACACCTGCCTATCTTTTTTTATGCTCCATGGCTGTTCAGGGGGAAGCCAGGGCAGGCTCTCTCACAACCTGCCGGGGAGAGGTTCGAACCCGCCACCAGCGGTAATGGCTACGGTACGCAAACAAGGCTCGATTTGGCGAAACCATCCCCCAAAATCTCTGATTTGAGGCAAAAAAATAGAAAATGAGGAAAAGCAAAGCATCAGTGCTCCCTACCCAGCGCTCCCTGGCAGATATCGGTGCGCGTGGCTCCGTCCACGATGAACTGCGGGCGTGGACACAGCTCCTGCAGGGAAACGCCCCCAGTTTGGTCACCAAAATCACCAAAATCTGGATATTTACGTTTTTTTTTCTCAATGCCACCGCGCCAGGAGGAGTTTGCCACGCTAACGACCATCGATTACGCTGAGGGAATTAAAACCCAGACGGCAAGCCAGCTGTTCCCCTCCAAACGCTGTTAATTAGCGCCCCGTCGTTAACACCCCGGCTCACCGTCGGCCTCTTCCACTGGACACCGTAGGTTTTGGCGCTGCCGGGGCCGAGCTCGCGGAAGCCGAGGGAAGTGGGAGCCGGCGGGAAGGTTTCGTCGCGGAAAAGGGTGCCGGAACGCCGGCATTCCTCCACCAACCGTCCGTAGTCCTGCCCCAGGTACCGCACCGCGTTCTCGTGCCGACCCAACCCCAACGCCTTCGCCCGTTGCCGTTGCACCTGCGCCGAAACGCCGGTGCAGTACACCGGCACGATCGGCTCCTCTGCCATCCTGGGGAGAAAACACGGGAAATGAGTAAAATCGGGAAAAATGAGCATTAAAAGTTGGGGGGTTCGCCTCCTTTTCCTTTTCAGCGCCGCTGGGGTTGGCACCGCTACCGTGTGCCATGGTGGCTACGCTCTCCCTCGCGCCAGGATGAAGTCGGGGAGCACCCTGTGCCCCCCCTTAATTAATTCAGGAGGAGAATAACGAGTGCGTTTAAAGGTGTCTCTCGTTAGCGGGGGATCTAACGACGAATAATTAGTGCAGCTTCATTTGCCGGGGGGTTGGCCTTAAACGGAAAGGGGGGGAAATGGGGCTTTGTAGAGCTGCGTACCCCGACCCTGCTGGGCGTTTTGGGGATTTTGGGGGGGATTTGGGGGATTTTGGGGTCTGCTTTAGGATCCCTGCTGCCAGCAGTTTGAAAGAAAAAGGGGGATTCTGCCCCAAACCCGCCCCCCCCCCCCGAGGGGGGTTTTATTAAACCCAAGCGCCGATTATGATCCCGTGGAGATCTTATTTTGGGGGGGAAAATGCTAAAAACTCCCATAACTCCCCCAAATTTGGGGTCCTGCCTGGGCCGCATGGGGTTGGGGACAATTGGAGCCATTTAGGTGAACGGAGCCTGCCGCTGTTTTGGGGTAAGAAGTGGGAATTAAGAGGGCGGGGAAGCCCTCCCACCCTCACCCCCCCCCCCCCCCGCAGCAGCTGCTCCCTGCCTGTAACCCGAGCGGGCCCAAAATAGTTGGGTTTAACCTCGAAATGGCCTGTTAGTAATTAAAAAAACGCCAACGATTACGGCACCCAGCAGCCCCAAACGCTGACGAATCGAGGGGAAACGGCCCCAAAAACAGGTCCTGCAAGTTGCAGCGTGTCAGGGCCGCTCCCCGCCAGCGCAGCCCCGAGCAATGCTGCCAGGCCCCGGGTTAAACCCCTAAAGGCCTTAATTAAGCATAGGGGAGTTTAATTAAGCGTTGGGGAGCTTAATTAAGCATCGGGGAGCTTAATTAAGCACTAATTAGAGCCACTAAGGGAGTGACAGAAAGGTGACACGGACATTGGCAGCGTGACCCCCCTGAGAATGTGGCCGAACGCGGGGGTTTCTGTCACCCCAAAGCCCAGTGCGGCCCTGGGGGGGGGCCGGTTCAGGGACACCCTAAACCCAGGGATTCTGCCCCCAAAAAGCACAAATTGTCCCCAAAATGAGGCTTGTGGGATGGGGGGGGGCCTCTAAACCCCCCTGCCCCCCCCCACGCAGGTTTTTGGGGCACAACTGAGGCCTAGCTGATGGGGCGCTTCGCCGCCTTAGGGACCCTCTTCCCCCACCCCGTTAACGAGGTTCTCGCTAACGAGTTGCCCCGTTAACGAGGTTCCCCCCCAGCCCCCCCCCTCTGCTTTCCCTGCACCCTCCCTCACCCCCCAAGAAAAAGCAGGAGCCATTTGCTGCCCCCCACCCCTCGGTGACAAGCCCCTCCCCACATACGCTTTTTGGGTAGGCAGGACAGAAATCGCCTCTTTTCACCCCGTTTCCAGGAGGGCAGCGGGTACCCGGTGCCCCCGGCAGGTGCCGCGGGGCAAAGGCTCGGCCCAGTGACGGCACCCCAGCGATCGCTTCCCTTCCCGTCACGCTGGGAAGAAAACACCACGGAAAAAGAGAAAAAACAGCAAAAACCATTCAATTTTGAGCAAAAACATTAAAAAACAACCCCAAAATCCTCCATTCCCGCCCCAAGGCAGATTTAACCCCCAAAAACCTCACTTCTGGTTAAAACAAGGTTTGGTTGTGGGGTGGGGGAGTCCCCCTCCCAGCTCCCAGCTCCTTCCCGCCTCTGAAAACAGAATAAAAATGGGCCAAAATAATGGGTTTTACCCATTTTCCCCGTTTCCCCCCCCCAATCCACCAGCGCGGGGAGTTGTGTAAGCGCCAGCGGCCACAAAAGTTGAGGAGAAGGGAATCGCCTCCCGCCCTGTCACCCGGGTGCGGAGGGTGGCTGTCACCTCCCCGGGGTGGGGTGGGGGGACACGGGGACGTACCTCGCTGTGGGAGGGGAGCGCTCCCAAACTCGCCGCTTTTGGGTAGAATAAGGAAAACTGCAAAATATTTAAATATCTCAAGTCTTCCTTCAGCAGGAAGGCGAGGCCGGGTTGAACCCCCCGCCCGCCTCCGCCGAGACTCCTCCCTGTGCCGCTCCTCCCTCGGAGGGTGACGGGAGGGGAAACGGGGTAAAATTGAGCGATTTTGGGGGTGGCAGGGGGACCCTGAGGTGTTTCCGGGGCCGTTTCTGAGGTTTTTGGATCCGTCGTCTTCCTGCGGCTGCAGGTTTTTAGCCGCATTGCAACGGCCGCTGGCGGCTGCAAAGGGGGGAATGCCGCTGTGGGCTGGGCAGTGCCGCAGGCCACATGCGTGTGCGGAGGGGCTGGACACGCATGGGACACGCGTGTGCACAACTGAGACATGTGGGATATGTGTGCAGCAGGCTGGGATATGGAGACATGCACGTGCATAGGGCTGGACACACTTAGGACATGCATGTGTAGAGGGGGGGGACATGCAGAGACATGTGTGTGCACAACCGGGACGCACATGGGATGTGTATGCAGGGAGCTGGGACGTGGTGACACGTGTGTGCAGAGGGCTGGGACACACATGGGACGTGTGTGTAGAGGGTGGGAACATGTGTAGAGAGCTGGGACACGCGTGGGACAGGGGTGCAGAGAGCGGGGACACATGGGGACACGTAGAGGGCTGGAACACACGTGGGACACACATGTGCCAAGAGCTGGGACATGCATGTGCAGAGAGCTGGGACACATGTGGGACCGACATGGCACACGTGTACCAAGAGCTAGGATACACATATGCAGAGAGCTGGAACATGTGGGGACATGCATGTGCAGAAGGCAGGGACATGTGTGGAGAGAATTGGACACACATGGGACATGTGTAGAGGTCTGAGACGCATGTGCATGCAACCAGGATGCACGTGGGATATAGGTGTGTGGAGGGCTGGGACATGCATAGGACACGTGTGCGCATGGGGTCAGAACATGTGTGGAGAGCAGGATGTGTGGGAACACACATGTATGGAGGGCCAGGGTATGTGTGGGACGTGTGCAGGGTGAGGACATGCAGGGCACATATATGTGCAGAGGGCTGGGACACGTGTGCAGGGCCAGGACATACAAGGAACACACATGTGGAGGGCTGGGACATGTGCAGAGCCAGGACACACAAGGAACACACATGTGGAGGGCTGGGACATGTGCAGGGCCAGGACATACAAGGAACACACATGTGGAGGGCTGGGACATGTGCAGAGCCAGGACACACAAGGAACACACATGTGCCTGGGCTTGAACACCCTGGGACATGTGTGTGTGCAAGGCTTCAGCATGTGATGTGCAGAGAGCCAGGACACACATGTGACATAGGTGTGACACACATGTAGCTGCTGCCATCCCTACCTGAACCAGCACGCTGGGTCCCTCCGCCCACAGCTCCGAGCTCTGGGGAGAGAGGAACGGCTCCGGGTTGGTGGGTGCAGGGGGGGCAGCCCCCCCCTTCCCCCCCCCAATTTTTTTTTTTTCCCCACACACAAAACTAGTGATTTTTCTTTTTTGAAGTACTTGGTGTTGCCTGTTTTCCTTTCTTTTTGCATGAAAAGAGGGAGGCAGGTTGGTGTCACCCCTACCCTGCACAACCTTCAGCCTCACCGTGGAGGGAAATAGCTGAGGTTTCAGGGCTAAAAAATGGGAAAAGGCTTGGGCCACAGGTAGAAAACAAACGATTTTGAGCAATTGGTACTCGTGAGGGTTATAAATGGGGAAAACAGGACAAAACAACCCAAAAAACACTCGTTTGCGCTGCAAAAACAGGGGGTTCGGCTCCACTGCGAGCAAAGGTGAGCTGGGAGTTAAAAAAACTCCAACATTGGCTTCGCTGTGAGGGGGGAAAAACCAAACCAAAAAAACCCCCAAAAAAGGACATTCTGGCCCCAAATTGAGGCCATCTCAGCCTGTGTTTTGGGGGCGATTCAGCGCGTTTTGGGGCAGTCGGGGAGCAGGGCCATACTCCGGCAGCGGCGGGGCCGCAGGATGAAGCCGTCCCTGGCCTGGGCGGCTCCATCTTCTTCCTCCTCCTCCTCCTGGGCGCAGGCAGGGGGGCAGGCACAGCGCAGGCAGGTGGGGGGGCGGGGGGGGGCCCCGCTGTAGGGCCGGGTGGCCCCGCTGTGGGGGGGGGGCCGCTCCCGCAGCCAGGCCCAGTGCGAGGGTTCCGCCGCCATCACCTGCCGGGACGTCAAAAACGCGATGGTTTTGGGGGGAAACCCTGCGGTTTGGGGGCTTAAAAACCCCCACCGCTGCATTTTGGGGGGGCTTAAGTCCCTCCCCTGCAGCATTTTGGCAGGGGACTAAAAAACAACTCCCCCCCCAGTATTTTGGGGGGGCTAAATAACACCATCCTCCACCCCTTGGGGTTTTTGGGGGGGGACACCTTCAAAGTCCCAACCCCCCCCTGGGATTTTGGGGGGGGCTTTTAAAAATCCCCATGTTTTCGGGGGCTAAAAACACCCTGGTATTTTGGGGGAGGGCTTAAAACACACCCCACCCCCAGCATTTTTGGAGGGCCTTTAAAGCCTGCTGCATTTTGGGGGCTTAAAGCCCTGCATTCTGGGGTTAAAATGCTGCATTTGGGGGCTTAAAAGTATCTTGGTTCCACGACTGAGTTGGTGTTAAATACGGGTGTGAGTACCCAGCAGCAGCCGGCACGATGGGGGGACGACGACTGCCCCCACCACCCTCCTGCCAGGGGGTGCGACTGGCCTGAACCCAAAACCTCACTAATTAACCTTAAAAAAAAACCCCCAATTTTCAGGAAACCCTAACATTTTTCAGCAAGGAAAGTGGCATCAGGCAGGAAACCTGCCATAAAAATTCAATTATTTTGTTTTTGATTCTTGCCACTTTTAGGGGATCTTTAAGGATTATTTTTCTTTTGAGGGAGGGTCTCCCTGGATTTTTGGGGGCAAGATAGAGGGATCTTGGGTGCGTTTTGGCAGATGCGGCACCGACCTCCTCGCAGCAGTGCCGGCTGACGGCCGCCCGGTAGCTCATGCGGGCCCAGAGACGGTCGCGGCGGCGGAGGAAGCGAGGGAAGAGCTGACGCCAGCGGCGGCCCAGTGCCCAGGGGAAGATCTGGTACTTGTGCTCCTCCTCGTCCTCCTCCATGTCGTTCGCCAGGTACCTGCGGGGTGGAGGGGGGAGAAAGCGAGGGGGATTTGGGGCAATTCAGCAGGGAGGGATAACAGGAAGGGGATGAGGCAGCTTGGGAATCTCTGTGACGGTTTGGGGTTTAACTCCCTTTTTGGGGAGATTTAATGGCATCGTTAGAGTCCCACTACATTAGCAAGTGCTCCAGAGAAGCATCATTAGACAGCCCCCCCCCCCCCACTTTGTTAACGAGCAGCAGGGGCTTCATTAGAGCCCCTACTTCGTTAACGAGGTCACCTCAGGGTACGGTACGTACAGGGCAGTGAAGAGGTTGAGGCGGGTGTACTCGCTGGTGGGCAAGCCAGCACGCTTGAAGTACGTCAGCACCATCGCCAGCAGGTACTGGGAAATGAGGAAAAAAAGTGATTTTCAGCACAAAAAAAAATAAATTCAGGCCAAAAAGGTAAGGTTTTCTTAAAAAATAATAAAATGGTGTTTTTTGAAGGACTAACTTTATCAGAAATCCTGCAGCAGACATCCATCGACAGGAACTCCTTCACCACATTGTCTTCTTGAAGAGAAAACCAAAATTACTATGTAAAAATAATTTTTGGGGAAAACCACCCAGTTTGGGTTTTTTTAGTAACGCAGGGGATTTGGGTTTTTCCCCCTGTTTTTACAGGGTTTCAGTGGTTTTGTGGCTATTTCCTTACCCAACAGGCTGAAGAAGGCTTCTCGCTCCTGGCGGTGCAGCGGGAGGCTCCGGGAGATGCTGGTGGGGTTGGGGGGCTGCCCGCCAGCCCCCCAAATTTGGGTGCTGCTGGGGGGGTGTCTCTCACCACCAGGGGGGGCTGGTGAAGGGGGGGGCTTCATAGAGGGGGGGGGGGGGTGGCCTGGG